CAATGCAATTAAATATTGTCTGCAATTAATGCCCAAAATCTGCCCCTTTTTCCACACATTCACTGCACTTATGATTGCAGTCTGTCGTCAATAACGTTATAATAATACACTCACAGAAACACCACTTGATTTCATGTGCTCTCAAACACACATCAGATTGCATTGAATTGCTCACAAATATTGTGCCCCTTTTGCACGTATAATATGGTGTGAAAAAGCAAATTGAAAGGTCACTGATTCACACATCAATTATGTTTATTACAAATGATTAATAAATTATAAAACATATTCAAGATTACAATGAAATTGAATTATAAATTACATTTAATAGAGATTACAATGAATGCAATAAATAGTGTTAAACACAATGAATTTGTGCATTGGTGTACATATGGCGTGAAGTATTTGAAATGGAAATTAAGGCTAAAAAGTTTAATCGTAAGAGTGGACCACTGATGATGAATGAGATAATGGTATGGCTGTAGTGGACCGGTATGTAGGTCTACGCCGACTGGACATACTTGACCTCATCGAACGCTTTCCTGGCCTTCTTGAGCTCCTCATTCATAGAGAGTAAGTCCTTAACTCTCGCGTATTTTCTGCCATCCCTTTGGACTAAATGCATGACATCTTCGACGGACACCCGTCCGGGTCTCCCGCTATCCATCGCCCGAAGCGCTGTCTCAGTGATGAACTGAATGACCAAATCCTCTAACATGTCAACGGACTCAGTGTAGGGGTTGTGGTCGTCGCCGAACCCATACATCATACATCTCAGCTCTTTCGAGAAGATCCGCTTCTTCTTGTCCGACGACTGACTCTCATTCAAGTCCTGAGACAACCCCTGAGAGGCCTCTTCTTCCATGTCTTCCGTGGCATTCGATGCCATCGTTTGTCAATTTATTTCCACTTCAAATGCAATCAAAGTATGATATCTAATGGCATAAAGCGTTTGCACTGATCTGCACCACAATAACAGGTCTTATTGCTGACCAAACTGTCACTCGAGCCGTAATTATAAGACAATTCAGTTCCGGCGACAATGTCTTTGGCGGCAAACAAACAAATTCTTGGACGCAATGAATCGCTTCTGACGGGAAGTGCTATGAGATTGGGTTCGCAGCTATGGTTAATAAATCGGGATTCGTTGCCATAATATTTGGCATCAATTATGATCTCAAACGTGGATTCGCTGCCAAAGTGTTCGCGAAATACGAGGACATAGTTGTGTTGATCACAGTCTTGAGCGTATGATTTGAATCTCTGTTTGGCTTCAGATGTATCGATAACTTCACCGCAATATTGAGCCACGAATTGACCGAATCTCAGATCATTGAGTGTCCGCACGGAATAGCCTTTCAACGGATCCGCAAACAGTTGTGTCACACATTTGGTGGCTCTTTGTGTCCACCGATTACCACATTTAGTCTTAAGCTCTGCACTCGTGTTACAGAAACAGTTGTCTCCGCACTCGTGGATCGGTTTAAGACAATTGATTAGAAGACCATTCGTGTCATAATTGGATTCAACACCACATCTACTATGACTGCATTCACACAAACCATTGCACCGATTGTGGAGTTCTTGTGGACAGCGATTGTCTTCTTTGACACAATTACAGCCCAAATCACATCCAATCAGATCTTTTTCATCCAAATCGATGTTTTGGTCGCGGATTAGATTGACATTAGTTTTGGTGAACGACTTATACAACAGATTATCACTGCTTCCGACGACTTGACCAGTGATCACGTGTTGTCTTTGCATTCAATGTCCTCAAGAGTTGATTCAAAATTGAGATTTTCTGTCAAAACACTCGCAAATCAAATGTCAAAACACATGACAAACACAACAAAAACAAAACAATTGAATCACACATTCATATATAAAGGTACCAAAAATAGATAGTATTAAGTATTGCATTTGATATGTATAATTTAGAAGTGCATATTTGGAGCCTATTTGTGTCCTTTACATATGGAGTAATACAGCTGTATTGCAGTATTTGTTTTGATTTCAGTATTCAATGAATAAAAACCGAAATATTGTTAAGAAATGGTTGGACTTAAGGAACGGATCCATCGGATCCAGTGTTGGCCACAAGACAATGGGCGACATGCTAATCGGCAGTTCCTTTCTGTCAAATATGGTGTCAACGCATACTTATGACCACATCTTCAACAAGATGTTGTCATCCGTTGAATGGCATCCAAACGGCAATCTTGTGGTCATTGGTTCCCGAGGAGGAGACGTGTCGTGCGTCGACCACAACACCCGATCCGTCAGACTCTGCAGCCGTGGCGGCGGTCGCGGCCAACAGATCACAGACATTAAGTTTGATCGCTTGGACACCAATTGGTTCTACACGTCCTCCACGTCTGGGAAACTCATTAAACAACGCCTCGACGGTCGGGAAGACATCGTTCTCTTGGATTCCTATGTTTGCGAAGAGTTTTATTCGAGGTATTGATTGGATGTGTTGTTATGGACACGGATTACGAGTGAAGTGTTTGGTTTGGATTAGTTGCAGGTTTTCCTGTCTTGACGTTTGTTCCGATCGCAAGCTATTGATCGCCGGCGACAGCAAAGGATTCATTCATTTGGTGCCGTCGTGTGAGTCCACCAAAAGCGATGTCAACACCAATGGTCTGAGTCTTCAGATCCATTCCTCCAACGTATTGCACACAGAGTTTAATAAATTCAATACAAATCTCTTCATTACGGCGTCCATTGATTGCACCGCAAAGTTATGGGACATCAGACGGTTGGACAACAAGAGCTGCAAACCGGTGCTCACTATAAGACAGAG